CCCAGCTGGGCAGCAGATATTTTTCTAGTCCTCTACTTTGCTAGGTGTCACTGCGGGGTAAAAGATTTTAGTTTAAGGCCGTTCGTACATGCAGAAGCTAAAAGTCTCGGAGTCCCAAATCACTAACACTAATACAGTGTAGGATAAAGGTAAGGGCTGTGATAAAGTTACGAAGAACTTTGCACAGTCTTCTCAGGAAGTGTAACTTACTAGGAAGATAGTGGCATCCGAGCCCAGCCTTGATCGGGAAGTAGGAATTCAGTTGGTAGAAGATGAGAAGAAGGATACTGGAGGGTAAGGGACACAGTGGAAGCAAAGGCAATGTGGGAAGTCAGTGGTCCCGTGGGGCTGGGGTGCAGATTCTAAGTGGCTACTTCAGAGGGTGCGTGTAGAGCACCTTTCATGCCACGATACACAGCTTGTTGTTGAAGCACCAAGAACATTTCTGTGTTTGAGAATCAGAAGACTTTCTGATGGACGCTGGCTGTGCTGGCGGTGACTGGCTGTAGCATACGCAATTCTCTTGGCTTTCAAAATAAAAATGAAAAAGGGATTTTTTTTACGTGAATATGCACTCATGCATGATTGGTCTTTCTGAGACATGATCAGAGAGGTTATGATTCTGACAGAAGGGCAGTTCTTGTCATTCTTGAGCAGAACTCACCTAAAATTGAATTGTAATTGGGATGGTTCCTTTTGTCACTTTGAACTTTATTTTCATTTGGTGCATTAACTGTATGTAAGTAGGAAAATGAACAGATTAGGTGAAAAGTACCTGGAGTCCTCTATGTCTGGTACTTCCCTTGATTAGCTAGCTCTTGCCCTTGGACAGGTTCTTGAGCTCCAAGGTAAGTACTTGTTCTACTTACCTGATAGATTGTATTGTATAATTTATGTGAAGCAGCTTTACTGTCCAGATGTCATGCAGCACCTTTTCGCTGCTAGCTCCATCACTTGTTTGCGATGCAGGCAGCTGCTCTGGGTAAGAGCCCTGCTGTGGTCTCTTGGCCCTGGCAAAGTGCTTGAGAATCCTGCCTGTCCATGATTCTCCAAGCTAGAACACACTGTCCCTTTGTTTAAAACAAACAAACAAACAAACAAAAAAGTCCTCAAGAAATAGTAAAACCCTTAGAATATTTTAGTCTTAAATATGTTTCTTGTAGGTATTATCTCAGAGAATGTTACTGAATTTTTTTTATGGAAAAACATTTAAAATCAGCCATAAGTTGACACAAGATACTGAATATAGTTCCCTGTGCTATACAGTATGTTGTTTATTTCATGTATATTGATTAGTATCTGCAAAACTCAAAACTCCCGGTTTATCCCTTCCCATCCCCTTCCACCCCAGTAGCCATAAGTTTGTTTTCTAGGTCTGTGAGTTCTTTAAAGATTTTTTTTTTCCTGCCATATCTGGTTTTGCCAAAACTTTGGCAGAGGTTTCATACTGTATATATATAAGACTTAGAAATAAAGTTTAATTTCTCATCTAGCAAATATGTACAAAGCAAAATTGACCTCTAGCTGCATTTTACAATCTAGTGTTAATTGTCGCCCTGGTTATACTGTTGGCTACATTTTGTATATTTGAATGGCTCTCAGAACAAAGAAAGATGGGAGTAGTAATGGAATAAAATAGACTATTGCCATTAATCATTAATTCTTTTAGCCAAGACAATTTGTGGAATCCTGTAGGAAGTAAATTATGATAAACGTCATTCATCCGTCACACTTCCCACAATTGATATCTAAAAGTACATTCAGAGGAACAATAAATACACATTCCCCAGTTATCTGACATGTCTTGAAAACTACCCACTAACACAAAGCTGCACATTAGGCGCGAGCAGTAAGAAGAGTGAAATGAAAATGCAACTGGCTTATCGAGTTCACTGACTTAGATTATAATATGCCACTGAGGGAGGTGGTGAGCTGATCGGTATCTGTCACTGGTCTAAACTTGAGTTCGTGCACAAGGTCCACTTGTGAAGTTCTGTCTAGCCAGACTAGAGATCATTGTAAACATGACTCCTTTGATTCATCTTGTCCACAGATATTTATTAGGTTTACTTTGACCCCTGGGTGATTCTTTTTTTTTTTTTAACGAGGGCAATGGGATACCATGGTTTACACAATTCTCTTGATAGAATTTGAAAATGCAGAGTAATAGATCAGGACATTCAGCCCTTGGTATCTGTGGGTTCTGCATCATGGAGTCAACCAAAATATTTAAAATACATACATTTTAATTTCCAGAAGGTTCCAAAAAGCGGAACTTGAGTTCGCCGCACGCTGGGAGCTGTTTACATGACGTTTATGTTGTACAGACATAGCATTTACACCATATTAGGTATTATATGTAACCTAGAGATGATTTAAAGTGTACGGGGAATGTACAGGTTACATGCTAATAGTACACCATTTTTTAAGGGGCTTGAGCATCCATAGATTTTGGTACCCATGGCAGGGTCCTGGACCCAAAACTCCGTGGATGCCGAGGGATGACTGTACATAATATTCTACTTAAAATAATTACTGGTCTTGTTATTCTGACACTTTGTTTTGAAGCAGATACTTTCTCATTTATCTGTGTAAGGTGTATGTAAAATTAATGGCAGGTGTATTGCTGACAGATGTTCCAAAGGACATTTTAGACCTCAGCTGGCTTATTCAGAGTTTTCCCTTAGACCAAAGGTTTTCGCCCTCTGCACTACTGACTCTGTGGACCAAATGATTCTTTGCTGTGGGGTCTGCCCCATGCGCTGTAGGGTGTTTAGCAGGATCCTTGGCCTCTATCCACGAGATACCAGTATCACCCCCCACCCGGCAACCTGCGCTGGGACAGCCAGAAACCAGCATCAAAACTAGGAGCATCAAAACCACACCCTGTCGAGAATTACTGACTTAGACTAATGCATGCAAAAGTGTGTGTTTATTATATATCCCTGGGTTCATTTACAGACTTGGTCCCAGGCATAGTTTGCGTTTGCCTTCAGGGTTGACTTCTCTAAATTTATCTCAAGTGGGATATATGTAGGCTGTGTTATTATTACTGTTTCTTTCTCAGTTGCAGAAAAAGACAAGCCATTATAACTAATTCCTTTTGGTACACAGTTATAACTCATTAATAAACTTTGTCTTTATTTTCGTCTAAAGTTGGCATTTTCTTTTTTATCTTGAGAAAACTAATGTATCCACTTCTTTGAGAAGCAGCTGATTTCATTTAGGAAGAACCCTCTGAATTTGAATTTTTGTGTGTGTGATAAAATACACATAACATAAATTTACCATTTTAACCACTTTTTAGTGTGCAGTTCTGTGGCATTAGGTACATTCACATTGTTCAGCAACCAGCACCACCATCCATCTCCAGAACTTTCTTACCTTCCCTAAGTCTCTGTACTCACTCACTTCCCCTACCCCACTCCCCTACCCTTGTAAACTAACATTTCACTTTCTGTCTCTATAACTGACTACTCTGTGTGCCTTATATAAGTGGAATCATGCCAAATGTGCCCCTTTGTAACTGGCTTATTTCCCTTAGTGAAATGTCGTCAGGGTTTATCCATATTGTAGCATGTAT